AGTGGAACGAGGCATGTCAAACACTCTGGAGACCACTCTGTATGATGTACCACTGGCGGACAGAAGAGAAACACCAGTGTCTGGATTGTGGCACCCCATCACTGTTGCCGTTCACTTCTCAGATGATCCAGCAGCACTGTCAGACCTGGGGGTAAGCAGATAAACATCACATTTTCATTTTTGGGTGAACTATCCCTTTTTTTTACTAACACATTTTTGCTAACTATATCAAAGGATGCATCTGAAGAACTCGGACTGGTCATACAGAGCACTGTTCACCTCTACAATGCTCTATTTTATTTTTATTTTCCCCCCCAGTTTTATTTTTATGCTTAACTGTCTAGACAAGCCAATTCCTGCATTTAAAGTTGTAATCCGACAAAGGACGCAGCAAATCAGTGTAACTTACATGGCCTCGGTCTTGGCTAAGCCTGAGGTACATCACTGTCTCCTCCATGATGACGTAAAACATAAAAACAAAAATTAGCAATTCTGGCTCCACCTATCCTGGCAGGATTGTCCTCTCGTCAGCTCTCCTCTCACACCGTTGCTATGCGACAGAGCACTGATCGGGAACCTCACGGTGTCGCAATTAGGAAATCCTGCGAAGGCAGAGCGTCCTTCATGCACTTCGGAGGCCTGGCCTTCGAAAGTCCGTGGCCTTCGAAATGTGCACACTCAACTTTGGGACACAGCTTATATGTGTGTGTATATTTCAAACTTTTTATTACTAATGTTTTAATAATGTAAATGTCTGTGCATTGTCAGACAAACAAACCCACAAAATATAGGAGATAAAAAATAGATATAAGATGAGAAATTAATGTTCTAAAATAGAAAATAATGTATTAAAAGTAATAAAATAATGTAAACATGCATGAATGTAATATCACAAAATATAAAATACTAGATAGAATAAAATTAATTTAGCAACAGATGTGTAAGGCTATTGTATTGTCAATATACCAGTACTACTTGTTATAAATTATGGAATTGCCACATCAGAATAAAATGCTATTCTTTCAAAATAATCTCAAATTTAATTAACATTTTTTGTTAGGTTTTTAACCATATGCATTTTTGTTTGATCTGCTCCCATTGAGGCACTTGTTTTGTCACACGAGTCTGTGCATTGATCATTCAGTGCCAACTTTTGACTTACAGCCTAATGGTTAGTCATTTTGTTTGGCATTTAATTAACATTTCACATGCCATCAGCAGCAAAGATCAAAATTAAACGGTTATTGATGTACTGGTGTGAACTGAAAGACGTCATGGACTGGTTTAAAATTTTTGGTTAGATTTATCCGACACCACAAGATGTCCTCCAATGTGTTTGAAGTAGAGCACAGCCTCTATCTGTGTTAGAAAAGATCACCACAGTTCTCGGGCTTCAAACAACCGGTTAATTGAAAAGAAAAAAAGCTGATGAATGCTATAATCAGGCATCCACTCAAGAGGGTTTATAGCATGTGTGGCCTGTATCACTTACATCTGTGGTCTAAGTGGGTGGCAGGCAGCATGGGAGTACTGAAGGCGCTCCTCAGCCACACAAACAGAGGACATTTTAGATTCCTGTAGCCCTGAGAGAGCATACAGCACTGAAGTCACCAAGTACTGGCAGGGTGCCTGGAGAGCCCAAACTTCTGATGTGGATTTGAAATACTGTTGCATTTTGAGAGTAGCCTTTCAAAAATAGATTTTTGTGTACATTATTTTGTATTCATGACATAGAAATTGCCATAAACCTTTTCTTTTAGACAACATTTTAGGGCCAATCAGGCCAAGATATAATGTTGTTGCAGATTTCTAGGAAGAATGCCATTACGCTCTATATGTATAGAAGGACAATCTGAATCCTTGAGATTTCATTGTGGTCTCAATCCTATGGATTTTTGTTACATTGCTTTTTGACCTCCTAATCGCTGTTACTTAATCTCTGCCTAAGAACATACTGGCAGATGTGACTACATGCACAAACAACCTGGTCTGTCTGTCTGTCTGTCTGTCTATCTATCTATAAAGGTAGATAGTTCAAGGACCCAGTAAGCAAATGCATTAGTAATGAGTAATACGTTCAAAACAGCGCTAATGCAGAGAAAAAAAACCGGAAGATTTCATCAGAGATGGCGGAGAGAATAGTGACTCTCGTCCAGATGTCAGTAAATTATTATTTTCAGCGTGTATTTGGCTTAAAAGCACAAGTGATTTATAACGAATGCCGGCTGAAGGTGTTTTAGATTATGCGCTGGTCAGTGGTTTAGTTATTCTGAATGGATCCGTATAGTAGCATGTACAGTCAAGGCAGCAGGTTTAGTGATCTTTTGGCGTCTCCCTGTGGTCCTGTTTGGTATCGCAGCTTAACTGGTGCTTATTCATATTAAAAATGCTCTTAACAATTTTCTTTCTTTCGGCATTATATACATACATTGGGTATGATGAAAATTAATTCATTTATTCATTTATGTTTGGGGGGGGGGCAAATAATAAAACATAAGACAAATAATAAAACTATATGTGACAAATATGACAGATTGTCATTGGTGAAAAGTCTGAAAAAGTCTGATGCTTGGATACACACCTGAGCTTTTGAAACTAATACATTTTTTATATATTATACATTATATATTTTATATGTTGAAGAATGCAGGTAACTAAATGGTTGTTTGTCCCCAC